TCTCCATTTACCTGCAACTAAAATATCATTTACTGACAGAATGACAAGCATTCTTTCTATTGTGAGATATCCTCTTAAGAGGTCTGCAGGGGGATGAACCTGCATGCCGTCGTTTCCGATCATTTTGGTCTCTTCAGATGAATATTTATATCCATACTTTTAGCCATCCATAGCTTTTATCCATCTCCATTCATTTACAATTAAAATGTCTTTCATATTGCCACAATTTTATGACCAAACCAAGCAACTAATTAAAAATAGCGTATCTGGTCACAAATCGGATATCAAGACGGGGATAAAAGTCGAACATGACTGTGATTAGTTTGTCTGTAATAGCATATCTGGCAACTTTAAAACTGGATTGTGGTGGCCTCAGAAAGACAGTTTATACTTAGTACGGCAGTGAACAAGATTAGAATTAAAACTTAACGAACTTCGCGTGTTCAAAGCTGATGAACCGAACGGGAAACGGCTCTTTATATTTCTTCGTCTGCAAACTTTTGAATTGATTCCGCAAACTATTGAAACAAGTGATCTGATTCACCGACTGCTATCTATCCGAGGTTCGGCTACACTGGATCTGGAAAACGAGGCTGAAATATCGTCAAAGCTCGCATGACCACATCCAATCGGGATGAGAGGTAATAAAGATTTGTTGTTTATCCATTCGCTTAACCCTCACCGCCGTGGGTCACGTACCGCAATTATTCGGGTTGGGAAGAATCCTCGCGACCCGACAATCCCGTCTTGCGCTGATTGTTTTTCCCTCCACGGTTCACACGATCCTCCCGAGGACCAGATGTACTGGAAGACCATTTGCGGTACGCTGTAATTACCAAGGGGCCAACCCTTCCGCCTCATTGAAACGACACACGACTCACAACGTGTAATTTATTTCCTGGGCATCAATTATACTACACCATTGATGGAGATTAAAACATAACTAGTGCAACTCAACCTGCCAAGAATGTTTACATTGTTTATAATTGTGTAAGAAATTGTGGTTTGGGGTGAGTTTGCTTTCTTTTAATATCCAAATCGTACTATTACAGCTGCAGACGTAATAAATATACAGTGAAAGGCAAAAATTTCCACCCAATTGATATTTTTCCTCAAACTCAGCTCATGGGGAAAATACACACTGATAGGCAAAACATTCATTAATTTTTTTTTCATTTCTCGATAAAATAATATTCTGCCCTTAATTTGTCTCATTGTTTATATATATATATATATATATATATATATTGCATGTTTTAAATTTGGAATATCAAATAGAGGAAAATACCCTTAATCCTTTATCCATAACAAGGATAAAGGATTTTTCAATGTTTACTTTTTACGGAATTTAAAATGTTTATTCAGTCTCATTTGAATTCTGAAGCAATAAACTGTTTAGTTGTCATCTTTGTTTTCTTAATTTCAATCTTTAAACTTAAAAATGCCATTTAGTGCTGAAGAAGATGTCGCACTTATTGATGATGGACGTTCCATCAGGTACTTACATACGGAGCTATAGCCTGGGCTGATAAAGCGAAACAAATAACCAAAAGGAAAGAACTCACAAAAATACAGAGACTTGCATGCATCTGCATAACGGGAGCAATGAAAACATGTCCTACAATTAGCATGGAAAAGATATTGGGACTAATCCCCCTACATCACATGATAGAAAGGACCGCACAGAAAACCATAATCAACTTTATTAGAGAGAAACCTCCAACAGGAATAAAACTGAAATGGAGAGACAGAAACAAACTGTGGAAAAACCATCCCTCACTCATGGCTCCAAGAAATGACATGAACAGGAGGTTTGAATTTAATCAAAAATTCCGAATACACCTGGGCACCAAAAAGGAATGGGAAAGAAAAGGAAATAACTCCCTCAAAAAAGGCACCATCCTTTGGTACACAGATGGATCTAGAACACAAGAAGGTACAGGGGTAGGAGTATCTGGACCTGGAACCAAATACTCAGGACCCATGGGAAAACACACCAGTATCTTCCAAGCTGAGATTCACGCAATTGAAAGATGTATCCAATTCAATCTAAATAGAGGGTACAAAAACAAGAATATAGCTATCATGTCAGATAGCCAAGCAGCCATCAAAGCACTAAGCTCAAATACCATTAGTTCAAAGATGGTGCTGAACTGCAAAACCAAACTAAACATATTGGGTATGCAGAATAAAGTTAGCCTCTGCTGGATCCCAGGACACATGGGAGTAGAAGGCAACGAGGAAGCGGACACCCTTGCAAGAAAAGGGGCTGCCACACCGCTGATAGGACCCGAACCCTTCTGTGGCATAGGAACCCACACTATTAACGAATACCTCCGACAGAAGGACAAAAAGAAAATGAGTGAACTTTGGAATTCACTTATTGGGCATAGACAATCCAAGAATCTTCTAACCAATTTTGGCAACAAAGAAATCACAGAATGTATCAAAGGAAGCAGGAATAGACTGCGAATCCTAACAGGATTCCTGACAGGACACTGTAGATTAAATGGACATCTAAAGAAAATTGGAATAATCCAAGATGGCACATGTAGATTTTGCAAGGAAGCAGAAGAGACACCAACACACTTACTAACAAACTGCGGAGCTACATTAGCCCGCAGGAGAAAGACCATAGAAGAACTACAACCACTGAAACTGGGCCTATTAATCAAGTTTCTTGATGAAATAGGACTCACCGATGTGCTTTAGGCAGAGCACGGGGGATACAACAGCTCTCAAAGGGCGCAGTATACTATACCCTGAAATTACAATCTACATCTACATCCATCAGGTATGCGAGACGCCGTTAGACGTTTTCAAGAAACTGGGGCCATAGAAGGCACGGTTCTGGACGCCTTAGGGTAACAGAACCACAGGATGACCGCTTTTTGACTTTGAGAATTTTTGCGAAACCCACAGCTTAGTGTTGTTCAAGCGATTCATCAGCTCCAGGAAGTTTGAGGTGTCCAAATTTTAGAACGTACTGCTCGAAGAAGATTAAATCAGGATGGACGGTGGGACTTTTCACCCCGTAAGAGGACCAGAATTGACCAGAACACACAGATTTCCACAGCTCGGATTTGCTCGAGAACACAGCCTTTGGTCTTTGGACGATTGGTCTGCTGTACTTCGTACAGATGAATGTAGATTTGCTCTACGATCGTCAGATGGGCGTGAAAGAGTGTGGAGAAGATTGTAATTTGTCCTAGAGCCAACCTTTTCAACGAAGCTCAGTGATGGTGTGGGCGGGAATTTCATGAAGAATCGCACAGAGTTGGTTGTTGTTCGTGGAGGGTCTTTGACGGCCACTCGCTATGTGGATGAAATTTTGGAACACCATGCGTCGCTTAATACTCGATGAAATCACCGACAATCCTATTCTAATGTCATTCATACATCGCTCGCCTAGTACAGACGTATTTTCAACAGCATAACTTTTGGAACATGATGCCTATCTTCGATGAAATCAGCGACAATCCTATTCTAATGCACGACAATGCCCGTCCACATGTCGCTCGCATAGTACAAACGTACCTTCAACAGCAAAACATCAAGGTTTTAACCTGGCCAGCCCGTTCTCCAGACTTGAACCCCGTCGAACATTTATGGTATAACCTCAAAAGCCGAATAAGAGCACAAGAGCACGTCCATCACTTACTGATACATTCAACGATCTTGAAAGTACTCTTCGTGAAGAATGGACTAACCTCCAGCAAAGAAACATTTCCAGGCTGGAAGAAAGTACGCCAAGGCGTCTTCGAGATGCAATTGAAATGTTAATTACAAATCTAATTAAAACAAACGTTATCCGTCCGTCTTTTTTTTCTTTTTTATGTTATTTTTCATTTTCCTTAGCAATTTAACTTTTTATTTTACTTTTTTAGACAAAGTCTCAATTATTAAACGTTAAAAAACGTGAAAAAGATTAATATATAAAAATATATACAAATCAAGTCATATTACAAGTGGGTGGAATGTTTTGCTTGTCAGTGAACTTCTATACTTAACACAGTTAATGAAGTATTTGTGTTTGTTGTTTACCCATTTTTCGTCGTTTTTGTATTGTATTTTTTGTCGTTCGTCCATTAGGAAGACGTCTTTTGTCTCGTACTAGTCCAGGTTTTACATTCTAACGACACACAAATTAAAAACACATGAATACAACATTGCATACAGTTAGCGTAAAGAAGAAATGTGTGATGTTTAGTGACCGTTAGTGATTAGTGATTATTTGAAGATCACTTTGAGCCCTGAAGATGATCTTAATAAAGGTCGAAACGTTGGCACGATAAAGAAAATTTTTTTCTAAAACCTACGTCACACCAGACCGCATCTCACGATCTTCAAATAAGCATAAAGAAGAAAGCATAAACTTTAATAAGTTCACTAAACACATTGAATTTAACAAAATTAGATTAGAAAAATTAAGAAAGCAAAGTTTGTTGCATTTTCAGCATGTTCTCTACCTGAATTATGTTTGCTAAACGTTAATGACTTCGTTAATGATAACCATTCCTGTTTGTGAGAATTTCCACATATGTTACATTAAAGTTTAGTCAGTTCTATGGTCCTTTTCTCTCACAACTTCTCTAACGACCCGATTTGAAATCATCTAAATAAATTAGACCCCGGCATATTTTCCACATTAACCGTGTAATGGATCTTAAATCTTGGGCCAAGGCCGCGACTTCGAATCCAACCCCATCGTCGTTTGTTGTATTCGCGTGACAGCGGCTAGGAAACCGATATATAATCTACCGGTTCCTTGCAAACTATTCGTTTAAATATATTCGTTACCCGCGGCAATTTGTCAACTGTGTTTTAACGTCTTTGGCACAGGGCTTATTGCTTAGTAAATCGTCCGACTCTTTTGATCTCGTTCGTGGCTTGAGACTTTTAGTCTTTATAAATCCGAGCTGCCTTTTAAATATTTAATTTGAGTTAATGACTTATTTCAGCATATCAGAACGGATGATCGCATTGTTGAATTGTTTCAGTATGAAAGAAGCTTCAGGTCGAACTGCCTCGGGAACTGGGAAGTCAGCAAGTGGTACCCGCATGAGCGTCCGCGTGCGAGGAGAGGTCACACTAAGGTCATCGCGGACGACAGGGGTCATCTTCTCCCGGGCGTCCCGAGGATAGAGCCCTGGGGCCATTTCAGATCTACTTGGCAGCTGCCGAAGCGCATTACCAGAAAACTGGGTAAGCAATCAGCAGGTTCGGCTAAGGTTTAGTTAACTCCCCATTTTCATTAAAGTAGAGCATCCTAAGTCTCTTTTTATTCAAATTCATACATTCCTGTTTTTCCTGATATTACCATACTTTTACTATCAACATAGCCATTCTGTCATCTGATCCTGATTCTTACCAGGCCAGTCGTAACATCCAACACCATTTAAACCTATTCCGGTCAGTTTAGCAAACGAAGGTTAAAATTTAATTCCACATCACCTTTACGTTCCGTAAATCTGCATGTACTTCAAGCTGCGTACCCACTATGTTCGCGAACCAGTGGCGAACCAGGATCGTCTTTAGTGTGTACGCTTCTTCTCTCGGAGGGTGTAACAATTCGCGAACATTCGAAAGCGTTCCAATTGCTGTCGGTATTTGGGCGAACTCAAAGGGGAGTTTCGTGGGCGGCAGTTTATAGTGTGTACCGCAACAAACACATCCATCTCCAAAAGTATGGATGGACGGAGGAAAATGCCTAGTTCTTATCGAACTCTACCAAAAATACGATTTTAGGTCCAACAGGAAGTCAAGCTCTCTTTTTATAGAAATTTGCTCTATAATCTTCAGCCAAATAGTGGATGAATATATAATTCTGCCCTAGCCACTACCTCGGACATGTTAATCCCATGTTCGGGTGAACAATGGGAAACTACTGCGGAGCGACCGTGTTCGCGGCCTCGTCTCCACTTGAAGTGGTTACAGGATCGCGGATTGGTACTGGTTGGCGAACATAGTGGGTACCCAGCTGTAGACTATCTACAAGAAAATCCCATGTCAAATTTCTAGCGTAGAGTCCACTTAGGCCTCTAGTTGTCTATCTAGACGAGGCAACTAGTTGAACGGACGGGTGTCAAGGAATGGTAGCAAAATGTTTGGGAATCGCCCCAACCCTTTCACACGCAGTCAATTCGTCCTGCCAGGCGGATGGCCAGTAGACACATTTGCCGCTCACGTTCTCATCCCTACTGGTTGACTCAACTCAAAAGATTCTGCTCGGCATTCGTCCTTCACACCAGTCACCTAGTTGAGTCAACTGAGTTCACCGTGGAAAGCGTTGCAATTGCAAGTTTCAATGTGGAGTAGTTCATTGAAGACAATCGTATTAGTCCCGTGATATGGGACATGAGGTGTGAAAGTGATAAACTTAAAAGAAGCGAAGCTTGGAGGGAAGTAGAACAACAGTATTTGAGAGAAAGCGCCCGTTTTCTAATTTTATAACAACGGATAAACCCACACTTTTCTTTCCTGGGTTTCCTCCTTTTTTGCTTCTCTTTTTTCAAAAAAGTAAGCACAAGAAGTGCTCCTGCTTCCCCGGGTTCTACCATCATAGTCCCTTTGGGAAGAGAGGTTGATTCCACAAGTTGCCTGGTGTGAAACCACAGAGAAACGTCTCCACACGAAGTAAACAAGTTGAGAGTCAACCGGGCAACTTAGTTGAATCAACCAAGCCGCCTCGTCTGAAAAAGGCTCCTTTGATAAGAAAGGGAAATAACGGAAACTAAAAGCAACTTCTTAGGTTACTTTACCAAAGAGCTTGCCTTGCCTTGCTTGCAAACTCAATATCTACAGAACACTCCTTGGACCGATATTGAATTACAGCAAGATCCTTACTGCTCCTGTATATATACTTGATGGCATTAAGTAGACTTCAACAAAAACATCAACTCCTCATCCACAATTAGTCCAACGGTTTTCCTATCCTACAAATCCCGAAAATCATACACGTCTTTTTGGATCCCCTTAGATATGGACCGACCCGAGTGTTCAAACCACATCATGTCAGTTTTCACTTTCTCGTCGATGCAATATTAATTGCATAGGTGGTAGGTAAAAAAAATCATAATACAAACAAACTAAATAAAAATCAATCTAATAATTTGCTTCAAAATCGACAAATTGTGTTCGAATTGATGACAGTTGAGCACCGGTTTATTGCGAATATTTATTTATTATTGTACTGTTCGGATTTTCAAATCGCTTAATCTACGACTGTTTATATCATCTGGGTCTCGGAATCGATAGAAGGAAGGGCATGCCATGCCGCCATCAAAATTACATTGCGGCATGCGTGCTCTTCCTGGTCCGCTTCCCGATCTCCGGCAATTCTCACGAACCGCACACATAGTTCTCTTCCGTATACGAACGGAGTCAGAATGTTTATCTTGTTACAGCTAGGGACATCAACACCCTGCGTCCCCCAGGAAAAAAACACTTGACTTCTTGGGAGAAACGGTCATCTCATATACCGCTCATCGAGAAGACCTCCACGCCGCCATTGCCATCCGCTGTACGTATTTTACATTTTCTTCTTAATCACATCCAAAATAATTTAAGATGCCACTTTTTTAAGCATATCTACGCAAAAATATAGAGATGATCATGCATGTATTATAAAACCATTCTTTCTTCTGCGAACATAAGTACATACATATATTGCTTGTTAAAAATAAATAGTAACATCGATTCTCCTTCTAAGTATCCAAAAATATTATTGGTAACACGCCAGGAGAAAGAAATTGCATATTTTATTTGGTGTTTAAGTAGGTATTTTAGCCTATCGATGTTTCTATTTATATATGTAGTTTCTTCTAATAAAATAATTTATCATTTATGTGCGTGTTTTTTTAGTGACCGGTTGTTATTCAATAATTTGTTGAAGTCGTGAGGAGCAATCAAGAATGAAGTATTTTAGAAAAAATCTTTTTCATTTTTCCCCGACGTTTCGACCCTTATTCGGGTCATCTTCAGAGCATGAGTAAATAACAAAACATAGTTTGATTGGAAAAATTACAATTCAGATACTTTAGACAATTACTTGGTTCAAAATTTACATTTTCATCTATTGTATTTTTTCCAATCAGCATATTTCTTATACACCTGACCTGAAGATGACCGGAATAAAGTCGAAACAGCGGCAAAAAATGAAAAAGGTTTTTTCTAAAATACTTCATTCTTGACCTCTCTTCTCGGCTTCAACAAACTATTACCATTTACGTTTGAAAAAGTTCTTGAAAATAGAACAAACAAACAATCTCTTTACATAATAGTTTAATTTTTGCTAAAGATGGATGTTGGATATTTGATGTTCTATAAATTTTCAAGCTTGATCGGTTCAAAAAAATGTTTCAGGGAAAGGAGAAGCGAATCAGCTCGTCCAAGAAAGAGATTCCGATAGTCGATGATACGGACTTGAAGTTGAACGAGTACCAGCCGTACCAGAAGGATGAAAATGACTATTCCCCTCAGATGGGCGCTGACAGGACTACAAAAATCGTCGACACGGCGCAAAGAGTTAGAGAAGATATTGAAAGCTATAGTCAGAGTGTTAGAGGGACACCTCCCAAAAAAGTGGAGGCACCGATGACCGACGAAAGCCGTCACAGTTCGGCCAAATCGAGGAAAAGCTCCAAGTCGTCGAGGGGGGACTCGCCGAAACGCGACTCAACGCCCCGGGCGAGTCACGACTACCTCGGCCCCCAGTACGCGAAGGACCAAGCCCAAGACAACTTGAAGCACCAGCCTCTGCCGGATATGATAAGCGACCAGATATTCCAATCGATGCAGATGAAAAGCGAAAAGTACCCAGGGCTAGGGATCGACAAGTCGCCTAAAGCGACGGCGGTCGGGCACAAGAAATTCGTCTCCCCTGGGCCGACACAATGCAGCAAGCTTAAAGTCTACAGGCCGAAGACCGCCTCGAATAAACTCCCCCCGGCCAAATTGTCGGACAGGCCCAAGACGGGGATCTCCAAGTCCCTCGGCGAAATCGACCTCGCCATCTGCTGGGACCTCGTCCCAGCAAATCCTCACGACGAGCCGAAAAGGCCGACGCACATCGACGGCAGCAACGGTTCCATAGCGCCTTCTGTGTTCACAATCGTCAAACCGAAAGAAGACACTTCTCTTTTTCCGACCAGACAGACGTCCCCTACAGACATCGCGAAAAAGATGGAGGAGACGGAAAAGGAGAAAGAAACGTTGAGGAAGGCGAGGCCCGCCTGGGAAAGCGAAAACCCGCCGTCTCGCGAAAAACCCGTCAACCCTTCCGCCGTCATGGACATCATAAACAACAACCTGGAAATCGCCAGGAAAGAAAACAAGATCAACGAGGAATTCCGCAGGTCCATCAGTTCGGGAAGGTGTTCGGACCAGAACGCCAACAGCCACAAGAATTCTCTGGCCGGCTGTGAAGAGAACCACAACCCGAACGTACCGAGTCAGAAAAACTCAGACAACGGAAGTAAAAAGTCGAACAAGAATTCCATCTCCTCTCTCGATTCGGACAAGCTCGCAAAACAAAAACACTTCAGGAGTTCTCCAAATCTAACGACTGTAGGCGTTGAAAGCAATAAATCCAAACATAAAATGCTTTTCTCACGGCCGTGCATCGCGTGTGAGACGAAATTGCCACTGGATTCACACACCAAGTCCAAAAACGATTACAAAATGGCGTTTAAAGCAGGTGTCCCGACTTCTGGGACGCATTCCCATCGCGTAGACAGCTCGGGCTCCAAAGCCTCGTCAAAGCAGCTTTCAATACCTAAGCCAAAAAAGCCTTTTGCAGCGAGAAGTTATTCGATTAACACACTGGCACCTCCGTTTTCTCTATGGCCCGGTACCACGGGGATGGACTACCCTGAACACTGGCGTTTGGCCTCCGTGTACCAACATTCTTACAAACCAATCGAGCAGAGAAAAAAACCTCTTTTGCAAGGTATTTTCCACTGATCGATCCAAAGAATTTTAAAGGGTGTCATGTAAATAAAAAAGAAAAAGAAGATAACTTACAATGTATCTGAAAACCGTATGAAATTTAATAAAAGGTAATAAAATAAAAAATTTCATCAATATTATTGCCAATCTTGAGCGTATTAAAATTAATTATTCAATTGAACATATACAATTACTAAGCTATATTAGATGATGGGTTTTGGTCTGCGAGTCGGTTTCTCACTGAAGATGGCTTAGTGCCGAAACACGTTTAAATAACTCAAACAAAAAAACCCGCGAGTGAAGACAGACCCAGTAAGTGGCCAGTTCAACATGAAATTACTAAGTTGTAAATAAATAAAAAATTGTATGCATTAAACTATTTTTTATAAAAGTGTGATAACTATAATAAACATCGTAATCGTTAAAATTAAGCATTTAAAATGTATCTATTAACAAAGTTGCTAACATAAAAAAAATGTAATTATTTGTTCGATCACAATTTTTTTTAAGGTTTCTGTTTTTCATATTTTTAAGGTTTTATTTGTGTATATATATTTTCCAGTTGAATTTTTTAAAATTTCTTGTTAAAGTGGTATATTCCAGTCAAAATGTTCAATAATTATACCCAAGTTTAACAAATACGGCTTTAAAATTAATTTTAGTGTACAATCAGATTTTTTTTAAATATGGGCTTAAGTTTAAGAATTATGCTTTAATTGAGTAGGTTTAATATAATTTTAAACCAATTTTGGTCATTATTCAAAGTAAAAAAAAAAAGCCTACTCTTCTCACTCTGTAATTCTTTTATCTTATTTGAAGCAGAGTGCCCTTTTGAAGACAGTAGACTTAAAATGTTAAACATTTCATTTTATCCATAATCAATGTTTGTAATTAATTATTTCGGTTTATTTTCCTGTTTTTTAAAGTATCTACGTTCTCTGTGATACAACCCCATTTCTGATTATTGATATGTTTTGATTTTTTGTTCTTTTGTCATCTAACATGGGGTGAAGATGAATTTGGTTATTGTAAATTTTGTTAGGCATCATTTTTGTTATGAATTGTTTGTTTTATAGTTTGGTTATCACATTTTAAACAGTACAGAAACAAATTTAATTAATTACCATTTTATACGCATGATTATTATAATTTTAAAAAAATGATTTCTTAAATAATTGACTTATTGTAAATATTAAACACTAAATTACAACCCAACCATGTACTTATTTTCCTTTATTCAAAAATTTGATGAATTGATGATGTGCACTTTTCAAAGTAATACTTTTTTATTAGAAATTTGTTTTGTTAAAAATAACAGACCTCATTACAAAAAACTTTATTGAGATTTTTTCTTCTCTAGAAACTAGAGATAATACAAAATTAATTAAAAGTTGACAGATGCAAGGTGGGCAATGATTGGCCAATGAGCTTTCGCTAAAGAAGAGCAGAATTATACAAAAACTATGGCGAAAACAGAAAATACCACCAAGACGAGCACTTTATTTTACCATTTGCTGTTTTTTAATCAATGAAAATATAACATATAACTCGACTTTCTGATTATTCTGTTTATCTAATGATAAACAAATGGTTAACATTCTAAAACAACACAATTTTTTTGACCCCTTCCCCCCAAAAAAATTCTTTATTTCTATGGTTAACTTTTTAATTAAGGCAAATGATAAATAATCAAGAAAGCTCATTAAACTTTTTGTCAAAAAGTTGAACATAATGCATATAGACAAATGATTGACATTAACAAATATTGCCAGCATCAGTTTATATTAATTTTTTTATTATGGTGTCAAAACCACCTTTTGTTAATTTTTTAGTAATTAAAAAACCATATAAGTCTTTTCACTTTTCATTACAACCAAATATGGAAGTAATATCAATTTATATAATATCTATTCAAAAGGTGTTACAACTTATTCACATGATATTTTATGTTATATACATAAAGTATAGACTTTTTTAAAAGTATTGTATTAATTTGTCGTTTTATTTTACAATTAAAACTCTTAAGGAGAAATTCAGGCTATCCAAATGCAATAATTTAAAATTTTAGTTGCATCCGTAATTATAACACACCACTCGTCACTAACGGTTCAACTCATTAGCTAATCCCACTTTTCCTCAGTCTGATTCATGTACGAGTCCAACTCTTTGTCGAGCGCCGATTTGCACGAGGACATGTACTGATCCAGCTCCTTGTCGAGCACCTCTCTCGAAGGCTGCGTATTATGCTGTCCCCTTCCCCTGCCACCACCGCCACCGCCTCTTCTGGCACCTCGCCTCCTAAATAAACACAAGATTAGGGGTCTGAGAGTTAAGGGAAAAAACTAAATTCTGGAGAAAAAAAACACTCACTTGAGATTTCCCCTTCCCCTAACGCTAAGCTGGTTTAATGTTGGTGAATTGTTATTTTTGAAAATTCGCCCTCTTCGATTATTATTTCTTCTCATGTTTAATGCGCCCCTACCCCTTGCTAAAAATAAATTCAAATAAGACACAAACACGTACATTTTCAAATTGCAGTACAAACCTGTTAAAAACCTTCCGCGTCTATTATTAATGCCTCGGAAGAAGTTTGGGTTAAGATTCAAAGACTGAAGACTTTGGCTCCTGGTCAATCTTTTCAAATTCCGAATCTGATCTGAATGAACATTTCAAATTAATAAAAATTGATAATTAAAATTACCTAGGGAAAAACTGATATACGAACTTAATGGTTGACGCCCTCCTCTCGGGCGGAAATCCCTTCCGTTTTGATTACTCTGTACATTCAGGGACTGCAGGCTTTGGCTTTTTATTAATTGGTTGTTACCCCTCCCTTGGGAACAAAAACAATAATACAGACATTGGACTTATTTATTTTTTTTATTATTTTTTTTTTAATTAAGACAATTCAATGAATTTATGTTTACTCAACAGTACATGACAACCGTCTTATTGCTTGATAATTAAATATTTTCCCCTAAAATAAGAATACTTATTTTTTATTGTTTTATAATAGCAAATGTTTATAATATATTCGATATGCAGCGTAAAACATCAGGCAACTTGTGAACAAGTGAAACCAGAGAAAAATTAGTTTTCTATTAATATTATTGTTATAGACTAGTAAAGTTTCCATTTCAGACAGCCAATTCTAGCTGCTTTGTTTTGCAAGACTATTTCAACTTTTGGTCATCATCACTGGTTGTATAAGTTTATGACCTGATAAATAGAATTCACATACAGTACTGAAGATGGCATGAAAACAAAATGTGACTGAAATTAACGGTAATGGCAAAATTTCAAAATTATAAATGTTTGAGTCTTTTTAAAAACAGTTGTTTCAAAAAATGGCAAAAAGGCAAAGCTCTGGTAATAGAAGCTCTCCTCTTCCCCTCCCCCTTATGAACTCATATATGAATCAGTTTATGTAGTTGACGGTGGGAATCGAACCCATGACCGCAGGGTCAACTATCATGCTAACAACTTGACTACCGGGGTCCCCCATCCTCCTCTTTAAATTCACGGATCATATGTGGTTTCAGAAGTTTAAATTTATATTCTACTTTTTTCTTTTTGGTGGTCATATCTTGCAATAATATTGGCCACAGTAAGAGTTCAGAGAATGCGAGAGTTCTTCTTATATTTTTAGGGAAGGGTATAATAAAAAGCAAGGGTGATGGAGGGAACTGAACCCATGATAGGGTCTACGAGTTTGAGTTTTATGCTACCAAAATACTACTACCATACCTCAATGTCATTTTTCAATTTTCATAAAAGAAAGACCGAACAAACTAGTACAAAATAGTATTCAAGAAATAATTAAATGTATTAAAAGTTAAAATTGTAAGGAAGAGTGAAACAAATCAATAAACAGTTTAAAAATTTTGACAATCATACCAGCCCTTTCAATTTTAGTTTTAAAAAAAAATATTCAATTGAAAATGTCCTTTAATGATTAATATATATTTTTATTTACACATTCTAAATTAAAAGGCATGTCAATCCAACAAGTTAAGCATGCAAAAGCCACATTACGAAGGAAATACATACATTATGAAAGCAAAAAATAACATGAATGGTTGAAACAATCGGTTTCAGCAAGCAAAAAAAAGAATATTTCTAAGTTTAGAGCTACGGGAATACATAGAAAGAATAAAATTTTAAAATTATTTCCTGGCATAATATATGAAAAACTTTATAATTGTTCGAATAATAAAAGGATCATTATGCTTTTCAACTTAATTCATCTATACATATGAGACTGACAAATATGGAAATATTATCATTTCCCAATGGAATTCTAACATTAAAATTTAAAGACTACATTTTAAATATATGTTGTTGAGTTTTTTAGGTTTTCCAGTTGAAAAAAAAAAAATCTTGAAAACTCAAACAAAAAAATACATCACAAAAAACAATATAATGTAGATAAATAAACCAGCGAGAAATAAAAAACTAAGTTAATTTAACATTATAAATTCTTGTTATAAATAATATAATTGAAATAATTGTTTACACAATGATTCAATATGGTGAAATGCTAAAATTATACCAAAAATTGTACATCTGAATCATCTGAGTGTCTACCTGGTTACTGACTTTCTCCTTTTACATATTATTCCTTGGATATTCAATAATCCTTGGATGGAGGCAAAAAAACCTCAAATTAAAAAATAAAACAAATAAAAAGGTTTTAATCTATCCAAAATTATTTAAAGTCAGCAAGTGAATATATTAAAAATTCACTAATTTCGCTTGACCAATTAATATATTACAATTAATTAAGGTTTTTAGTTGAGATAAAAAAAGTCAATGGCACGAGCGGGATTTGAACCCACGATCTTCGGCTTGATACGCCGCTGCTCTACCACTTGAGCTATCGTGACCTCGATCCACTTGGACACCAACTTCCCATCTCAACTTTTTTAATTTTCCCTCCCTTTTTGCCATTTTTCAAATGTGTAAACGGGTTGGGTTCTCGACGACAAATGAAATGGCCACGGAGAGCTTTAGTGAAGTATACTTCATTTTTAATCATTAAATTCACTAATTTCGTGGTCCGCTTGACCAATTAATATATTACAATTAATTAACCTTAATTACTTGTATTAACTAGAATATACAAATATACAATAATAATATTAGGATATGTCAATATCCTAAAATGCTAGCCTCTTGTTTGTACCTCAGGTTCTCAAAAATCAAACAGAAATGAAAACAAATATGTATAGACAGATCTACCACAGCAGAGTATGTCGGAGACAGTTACTTCACTTTACAATGCAAACACACAAGTTTGGTCACATTCACTCCCCCAGAGTACTCGATATTCCACAAGGTGTGGCTGAATAACTTATTTTTACTCTCCAGACATGCACACTCACCCCAAAGTACTAAAAAAAACCTCAAATAATAAAAATAAATATTTTTATGGTGTTTCTTGTATTGGTATATTTCATATTTTATAATATCAAAATTACGTTAAATAGTGAAACCTGAAATCATAATAAGCAACTCTTAGCGTATAATTCTATAAAAACTCACAACTTGTCAAATTCCACAGCTTCAATGGATGAATTTTTAAAAACTAATGCATCCGATTTTTTTCTGAAGAATTTTTGGTATGTGGGCAATCTCAAATTACTAATTTCTTAACCCTACACCTGACCAAAATAGACAAAAGTTTGGAAAAAAATATACCATGTTTTATTGAAATGTTTATATTCAATAATTTTCTATCTGTATAGATGATATATAAGTTAAAAAAGCTAATATTTTTTAAAAAAGTTACCTGCTGAAATGCCAAAGATTTGGAAAATCGAACACTGAAGATCTTGAAGTGTCAGAAAACACTACGGTAAACCAGTAAATATTTTATTGAGGGGGTTACACCACTAAAACTTTTGAAAAAATTTCCTACTAGCCGACCACTACGAAATAGAGAAATTTTAATAACGCCAAGAACAATTGAAGTTGTAAGAAACATGCACTTAAAATATCTAGAGTCATACTTGGTAAACGTTGGCGGCGTTGGATAAAGCCCTGTGTTTGCAAACGGCTGGCGATTCCCGTTTCAAGGAAGGGGTTGTTGTTCCTGCCCATCATGCTCCTTCCCCTTAGGTTGTTTTCTCTAACAAACTGTGAACACGTGAAATGAACAACCATTAAAACTGCAATTATTTTGTCAGTAAATTATGTTTGTACTCTTCATACATTGCCCGCCCTTGAAAGAGCCGCTATGACCGCCGGACGCCTTGACATCTGCATTGCCAGCCTTCGGTTCCTGATACTTGCCACATTGTGGAAATCATCTTGGTGTAAGAGGTTTCTCCTTTGCATGCCACCTCTTCTCAACTGCGTAAAACTGAAAACATAAAAATCAATGTGTAGAGATTAGTGACCGTCAATCGATAGTTATTCGTATATCATGAGATGCGGTCAAGTGTGATGTAGGTTTCAGAAAAAACATTTTCTTCGGCACTCTCAACACGACACGCAAGGATGGCACAATTACACAGAAGACAAACACTTTGAACCCTGAAGATGATCTCAATAAAAGATCAAAACGTTGGCACGATAAAGAAAATGTTTTTCTGAAACCTACATCACACCCGACCGCATCTTACGATATATGAATAAATAAAAATCAATTTAGTAAATTGCTGATGATAAATTGTCTTTCAAAAATGTGTGGTGTTTAGTGACCATAACTTAATGATTATTTGGAGGTCGTGAGATGCTATGTGAGTGACATAGGTTTAAAAAAAAAATTCTTTATCGTGCCAAAGTTTCGATGTTTATTGAGATCATCATTTGAAATCCCAGGCCTTGAAAATGATCTCAATAAAGATCAAACCCTTGGCACAATAAAGAAAATGTTTTTCTAAAACCTACGTCACACCAGATCGCATCTCATGACCTCCAAATAATCATTTTTCAAAAAATTCATTAATTTCGTGGTCCTTTTGACCAATTAATTAAGGTTTTTAGTTGAGATGAAAAAAAGTTAATGGCACGAGCGGGATTCGAACCCACGATCTTCAGCTAGATACGCCGCTGCTCTACCACTTGAGCTATCATGACCTCGATCCACTCGGACATCAACTTCCTATCTCAATCCCGCCTTATGAGTTTTCCCCCCTTTTTGCCATTTTTCAATCCCGCTCGTGCCATTAACTTTTTTTCATCTCAACTAAAAACCTTAATTAATTTTTCAAAAAGTTTGTCTTGTTTTTACATTTTCTTCTTTAATTTGTATTCAAAAATCTAATTATTTATAAATCAAGTTTATATACAGAAAATTTGGTAGAAAAGTTCGAAAAATTTAACATTATGCTATACAAAAAGATTACATAAAAAGCTGTTAAATATTTAAAATAGAAATGTATAAATGTGATTGGAATTATCCGTTAAACATGTTACACATACCGTTCGTCCAACGACATTCTTGTATGACCTGTTACGTAACCTCTCTCTACCAGCATCTGTAACAAAATTCGTAGAATTATTAAAATATTGAAAACGTAATAGCTGAAAAAACAAATAATTACAGCAGAGGCCCACTTGTGTGAGCTGATCGGGACAGAGCCCTGTTCGGATTAGCGAAAATTCAAATTAGCCAAATAATATGCATGTAAGCAACAAGTGTGAAACAATTACAGAATTTTATAAGTAGATTCCAGTTTTACTAGACATTTCATGTTTCGATTATCATTTATTCGATCGGTGAAAAAATTTTTAAAAGGCAACAGAGAAGAAAATATGAGAACCATGTTAAATGATCAGGGAACAGATGTTTTGTTTTTCTTATCTATTTTGGTCCGCCTATTATCTCCGTTTTGGACTGTCAGCCACATTTTGACTTTTCACCGTCATCATTTTTATGAGATTCACATGGTGTTAAACCAGTAGTTTGGTCGTTTTCGGTCATCTGATCCTGGCTGCTGTTTACGTCTGTCTGACAATGCTGATTTTTACCATCATAATTTTTTATGAGATTCACATGGCGTTTCCAGTTATCTTTTGTCCACCTAACATTATGTTTTGGTCTGTCTGTTGATCACAGTTTTTGCCATCATAATTGTTTCATGATGTCCACAAGGTGTTAAAACAGTAGTTATTTGTTTTCTAATTTTATAAATAGATTCCAGTTTTACTCCGATCAGCGGGAAAATGTTTAAAAGGCAAGAAAAAAGAAAATATGAAAACCATGTTAAAATTATCCAGGAAAAGATTTTTTGTTAGGACTTGGTACATCAATACAACAATCAGCAGAGTTTTCAGGTATTAAAACAGTATATTTTGTGTTTTTTTTTTTTTTTAAATGATAGTCAGTTTAATATTCATTATAATTGAGTTTTCATAATTGGACCCAATCCAGAACATTCCCAATCTCAACTTCTTTTGAGTTAAATAAAACCGCTTATGATCAAAGAAAATTTCCCAGATTTACCTCTCCTCCACCCTGCCACAATCATATAAAAACAGCAGAATATAAATGCACATTTCTCAACAATTTAACATGAAATAAAATATTACACCACAAAAGTACACTTGATCCAAAACATATATATTTACGTTTAAAGTTGTATGTTTTCCAACCAACATATGTTTTGAAATTCACCCAGGCTCTGAAGATGAATAAAGGTTGAAACGTCGGTTAAAAAAATTAAAAAAATCTTTATTCCTGACCGCTCCACACAAATCCAACAAATTATTAAACAACCGGTCACTAAAAAACAACACTCATGAAAAAATGATGGTGATGGTAAAATGCCAAAATTGACAGATAGATCAAAACTGCAAGGATGAGTACACTTGACCAGATTACTGAAAATATGGTTTAACACCATGTGAACCTCATAAAAAATTATGATCACAGTAAAAAGTAAAATCGTCAGATGGAACAAACTGCAAGGATGGATAGTCAGGACCAGATGACCAAACTACTGGTTTACATCTTGTGAACCTCTTGAAAAATGATAACAGCCAAAATCTGAAACTCGTCTAACAGACCAAAATGATTGGAAATGTGCAAACTGCAGGTTAACATCTGAACCTCATGAAAAATTATGAACAAAATCTCACTTGAAAGGCAAAGTTCAAAGATGACCAGAATCGTCCAAACTACTAGTTTAACACCATACTCTTGAAAAATGATAATAGCCACAAGCCAAAATGCATCTGACAGACCAAAATGATTGGAAATGCCCAAACTACAGGTTAACATGTGAACCTCATAAAAAATTATGGCGGTGGTATACTCACCCTGAAAGGTTAAATAGACCAAAGATGACCAAAAACGACCAAACTACTAGTTTAACACCATGTGAACCTTTTGAAAAATGATGACAGCCAAAATCTGAAACTCATCTGACAAACCAAAATGATTGGAAATGTCCAAACTGCAGGTTAACATCTGAACTTCATGAAAAATTATGAACAAATCTCAACCGAAAGGCTTAGAAGATCAGATGACCAGAATCGACCTAATTATTAGTTTAACACTATACTCTTGAAAAATGATAATAGTCAAAAGCTGAAACGCATTAGGCAGACCAAAATGATCAGAAATGACTCAAATGCAAGTTCTTCACACCACAACACATTGAAAGAAATTTCATAATTTCAAGTTTTTCTCTTTAAATGTGTAATTTTGTAAATCATGAATATTTGATGTTTATGTTAATTGGCATTAATGAAAGTATTATTCGAGATGCAATTTACTTTTTATTTTTATTTTAACACTAAAAACAATATTTCTGGTACCCCTGATACAACGTGCAAATCAAAACGGCCTGAAGTTGGGACTAAAGTGAGAATCTTTTTAAACCTCATTTCAACCTAACTTTTCCTTGAGGATATTCAATGATTATTTTAATTTCAAGATCTGACTCGAATCCGGACCGCAGATAATTCGTGTACATTCGCCCCAAAAAACCTACCCCTTAAAATTATCTACAACTCTCAACACAAATAAAAAGGCGGAAAAAATAAATATTTTGGGTACCTGATGTTGATGCTCATCAAATTTATTAGTCGACTGCGTGGCCGTAGGACGCAACGGGCGAAAGCCGGCCGACAGATCGAAACGGCGCAAACTTGAAAAATTGACCAGGCGAGCCTAAGTCAATATGTAAATAGACACGCGATTCTTGGAATTAGGATTAGATTTAGCCGAACACAGACGAGAAAAACCTTCAGGACGCAAATGGTACTGTCCTCTATTCGTAAGATGCCATTCCACTCTAAACTTACCGTTGCCCGCTTCGAAACTCCAATCTTGAATGACGTCATCAAATTTATGTGACGTAGAAATAGTACACTCAGAAATCGGTTAACTTTACCATAAAATTTTTTTTTTACGAGGGTAAAAAAGGCATTTTTACTGTACACCATGTACAGTCATAACCTTCTTAAAAATAAAAGTCCTAGTTACGATCTCGTGAATCTCCAACCACTCTCCATAAAATCAATAACAAACAACTATTCGGCATAGCCATGGGCAGCAATCTAGGCCCTACACTAGCAGATATAGTGATGGCACAATTACTCTACACGGTTATCACCCAACTACCTTTCACTTTACCCTTTCTCACCACTCATTGATGACATTCGAACCGCACTACCCTCAGATCAAATACAAAAAACATTAAACACATTTAACAACATACTCTGTTTAGGAGGTTGATGATATATATTCAATGACCAATTGACTTTATTATCGACCGGTTTCAACCCACTGGGTACGTAACGTCTATTAAAGCTGAGGCCCACAACATCCCACCGCTACAGCGGACATTTTACAACTTTCATCTTCGTTTACAATTCATACATGAAATCGAAATAGAAAAGGAAATACCATTCCTAGAAACACTCGTAATGAGACAGATGGCACACTAATTACAGATTGGTACCAAAAACCAATTAACACTGATTACTACCTCAATTATACATCACACCACCTCTTATTAATATTATACACAATATTAAACACGGCTAAAGGATTATTACATAGAATCATATCACTAAGTCATGAATCACCTATTCACCTCGCCTGTTCATATCGTTCTATCAATTTATTTCATATCCTAGGCTAGGAAAAGCTTCTACTTACATAACATACCATTCCTAAATGTTATCCCAATCATTAATTTGGATTCCGCGGTTGTACGACACAAGTCCATCGCGTTGTCGACACCTTCACCATCCCCTTCGAGCTTACACAGCTTACACGTTTGATTGGGTATGGCATAAGACATTGCTATGGAAGCCCAGCGGCATCCTTATTACCTTATCATCAAATCCTACCTTACAAACCGATACTTACAAGTAACCCAAGAGAAACACGATTGCTCCCTTACTTTGCTTCTTCTTTACAGCTGATCTCCCATTGCATTCCAATACCTTAAAATTCGCATGATGGACGCCATTCCTTCAATCTCTTTGTGGTGAATGCCTGTGGTTAACAAGTTATTCGATAGGTGTCACCTCTGCTTCAACAACGGTATCCTGCTACAGCAATGAACTTGAAGCACCTCTGCGTATAATCAAGGGCTCAACTTGTTTAATGCACATTTGTCGACGAGATCTCAAACAACACTTACTAATGGAACAAACCGCAAGCATTAGCTACAGCAACAAGGATACTCGCAGCATCATCTCTCGCATTCTAAACGGCCGATGTGTCTAACTACTGCATGCAGCTCTTCGCTCGCTACAACACCCGGCTCATCGACATCAGTCCATGGATTTCAAACAACTGCTCCATCCCTTCTCGGGCAATCAGAACGACTGGTCACTAAACTATCTTTGAATCCTAGGATCAGGCTTCAATGGTGGAGAATTAATGTAAACAATCGAAAATCGAAATAGATAATTTTTACTCTTAAGCATAAAACTCTGCTATCTATCTGTTTATACGGCACCCTCCAGGGAACAGTATACACTATATTGGTCTATACCTGGACGAAAGACTTAGTTAAATCCACATACACGACTAAAACAAACTGATTGTAACTTCAGATATAAACGCTGAAAATAGTATTTCACAAAAGATCTAAGCTGATATTACTTGTCAAAAAAACAATTAGACACTGCTCTCAACGCCCTAATTAAACAACTACAGGACAACTAAGTGTTCCAACCTCAATAAAATCTAACCCAAAATCATCACGTCACCAATCGTACCATCAACTCCGAACTAAACATAACCTACGTCCCAAAACTAGCCCCGTCCCGTTACAATAGATTTCACAAACCCGACAACTGAGAGCATTGAAGTAGCTGGTCGATAAACTACATCGCTGAATAGATTTCACTCTTAACTGCCTTCTCATTGTAACTGCGGTAACCAAGTTATCCAATAAGTGACACCCAGGTTTAGGAATGATCTCCCCCTCCACTCTGCAGCCAATTAGCATGGACTAATTCCATATAAAGCAGGGGCACTGCCCCGATGACCTCAGACTCGTCTCGTTGTCGAGATCTCACTAATCACATGAGCAATCCGACAACGCCGGGCATCAGCTCTCGCCTTCTCAACACCCGACTATGAACCCGGCTACCTGCTGCACGAGTCTCTTCTTCCGATGCCGAGAATACCGACTTCACTGTGCTGCTGCTGTCCTTGTCATGGCCACTAAAGTAACCAGTAATTCGCAATCTATGCTTTGTGCAACCTGCTCATCCTTTCCTTCCAACCCTCGCAGAAAACCCGCGCGACCATCTGATTGAGAAACGTGGGTACCCATGCGGTCTCCTATTTTTTTGACACAATGGCCAATTTTGCCCACTTTTACAAGTTGGTGAGCGTTCAAACCAATCATGTACATAGAATATTGTGTGTGCATATATGTGTATATATTTTGTAAACACTATAATTTTTGCATTTTAGATGGATTTGTAAAATAAATAAAAAATCACGCACAAAGGTCAGCCAAATCATTGATATATTTTATTTATTATCTTGATATATTTATTTATTTTTTCGGCCAGCTATCTGCTAGGCCCATTCCTTCTCACGTTTTAATTATCTCGAAGTTTTTTTATTGCCCCTATCTTTGACGTTTAACCCTTCCGCACGCGATTAAAATGTCCTAAATCAATTAAAATATACATTCATACTGTTAAGACCCCACCCTAAGATAACCCAATCTAAGTTTGATGGGACTTTCGATATACTACTGAGACCCCACCCGACAACAACGCTAAAATTATGTCCAACATTGATATTTCGACCTACGACTTCCTGTATGCGGTCATATGTTTATCTGCTTTAGGTATCGAATTATTATAGTCATTATTGATTATCATTATTATAGTCACTATGTGCTTTAAATGTTTTGTCTTTTAAAGTCAGGTGGCAAGTCGCACCTAGTTCGTAGCGTAGGTAATTACTCACATTCTGTCAATGTTTTACTTACATGTGCTCCACATAAAGTGCATTGCATGGTCTTTCCCAACAGGTTTATGTGATCCTAGTATGGCCTATCCGCAGGCGAGTCAACACGATACTTTTTTCCATTTCATCCATGGACCACGATTTGGCCCTACGTTATTTCGTGTTGTCGGTCATGGTAATCCAGCGGAACTCTAACATATTTCATGATTCTTTATATACTTGTTTTCTTAAATTTGGATAAATTGTAATGATCTATAGAAATGGGATAATAAAATATAATCTTTTTTTTTTGCTATGGGCCTCTTCATAAGATTATTCTTTCTGGATGGCAAATGGTCTCCAATTTGGACTGATGGTGGTCTTAGGTAACGAGCTACATAAACTTGCAAGACCGCTTCCTTGTAGCAGGTATAGGTTTAGACAGGGCAGTATTTGTATACTGAGAACTTCCTACCAAGTAAATTAGGCTTTAATTTGCATATCACCTTATACGTTAGAAGAACATATTAAAGCAATTGTGTAGAGCGGTTGTTGGACGTGATACTGGTGCATGAATGGATCACGAGCCGGCCCATGAGTGGGATTATCGATTGTGGATCGATGCCAGGATCGAAAGTCCGCCGTTCGGTTCTCCGTATCGTATCGCAACATCGTACATTCGCAGATCGTATCAGGATGGCCGACACTCAAATTGATACGACTGCTGTGATGTTGACAACAAATTCCAAAATACTCGTGACAGTCGATGAAGCCCTGCAAGATGTTATCGTCGTCTCGTACGCCTTCGAGAGCAAACTGTACCAGGGCGTCCTCCTGGACTCAACGAAAAAGTGAGTCGTGCCCAGACAAATCCTGCTTCTTTAATTACATTTCACTTAGTCGTATATCTCGAGACGATTGGTTTCATTTCCGCCCGGATGGACGTTCCGACGGATATTCGAATACGGCCAGGCCGTCGGATCCCAACGGTTGGATATGTTGAAAAGGAAGAAGGGAAAGTACGACCCGTCCAAAACACGAGTTGGATCACTGCCCTAATGTTTTCTAAACAATTCTCTTTATTTATCAGGAAAAATTGGAATTTTCAATTCCCATATTGCATTGATATTTCTTAAAAACGTCCTCAGACGTAGGAAAAAGAGGATCCTTTTAACAACGAAACCTCATGTTCCCTGTGCATGTTCTGCTTAAAATATGGCATCACATCCTTGCGAATGACAGCAGGACGGCTAAAAAATGCAGAAATCAGTTATTTTCTGTCGTTTAAACGTACGCTGTTAAATTTTGGGCGTGGAATTTTTGTAATAAGCCAAAATGGAGAACGTGACGAGTGGGCCTCTCCGCTGACACGATTCGGATTTTCACTTTCCAATTTAAGGACGAATTTCTTATGAAAAACTCGAATCTGGCCTGAAACTTCGAAAAGGTCCACTTCGCCATCGAACATCAATGCGTTTGACGGACCTTCTGCCAGTAATGAGATGATTGACGCAACACGAGTTTAACAAGTTGTTTTCTTGGAATTCTGACAGTCACTTAATTTTGTTTTTATACACAATTATAAATTGTTGCGCTTCTGATTATCATCTTCCATAATCATTAAACTTTGTATTTCTAATAAAAACAGCTTAAAAAATTGGCTGTTTTCTGTTCTCATCAGGGCTGAAAATAAATTTTATTTACAAATGTATACAATGACTTAGTGAAGTTTCTGTCTAGCGGCAGTTACTTCTAACTATTTACGATATAACTAACTTTTTATTATTTACATAATTGTCTAATCCACATGCTATAGACTTAAAAGACATTCGCAACTGTGTACCACATTACTTGACTGCCAATCGAAACAATGTCTAAACAATTAAGAACAGAACAGAAATTTTATGCACAGATGTATGCATTATACATTGTATACAATGGTTTAGTGGAGTTTCTGTCAAGTGATACTTACTCCAGCCGGTTAGGATACAACAAAATTTTTATTATTTACATTATTGTCTAATCCACATGCTACAGACTTAAAAGACATTCGCAACTGTGTACCACATTACTTGACTGCCAATCGAAACAATGTCTAAACAATTAAGAACTGAACAGAAATTTTANTAAAAGACATTCCCAACTGTGTATGACATTACTTGACAGGAAATCAAAACAATGCCAAACACTACAGAACAGAATTTTTTTATTCTAATACCTTTGTTTTAAAAAGTTTGTTTTATTATTTAGATCAGTCTAGATTTTCAGGTTATACCCCAATCTTGCTCATCTTTTGCACCACAGATCTATCAGAGTTGTATTAAATATTTTCATTTAAATGTATAGCTACCGTAGGGATTACTTTTTGCCTAAAGGTGATTTTCTTTCAGTCCTTACTGTCATGGATTGTTCTCCATTCAAGATATATGGACAACTTGTTTTTGATAAGTGGTTTATTTTTTGATGAAGTGCTGTTGTCAAAGATTCACAAAAAGCATATCAAGATTCTTTTGAAAGGACTTGCACTGAATTTTTCTGCCTTCCACTATGAAATCCTCAATTCGTCAGACCAAGCATTTGATGATGTGATTTGGATACGCTGAACGAAGACAGCTACAAAGACATCATATTGATCATACAACTGCCGAAAGGCAACCTTAATTGTGGACAGAGATAAAAATGAGCCACGAGATGGAGGCAGTAATTAAAATGCTAGAACTCTTTCTATCTTTCCATTCTACCTTCTATCATTCCCTCAGCATCTTTTTTCTTCGGCCTTTCCAAAACAAAAATAAATAAAAAATTAAAATAATAATAATAGTAATATTATAATAAAAACCCTTAAGAAATGACCACCAACATTGTGCAAGAACATTTGGTAGGCAACCAAGCAGTTTTTCTTTTAATTATTAAGTACAGATTCAAACATTGCAATATGGTAATTCAATAAATTATTAAACAGTATAAAGCAAATAATATACTGTCTGCAAGACAATTATAAGAAATATTCAATAAAACAGTAAATTCATAAGTTCATAGATTGTTTTGAATATATTTTTTTATTTAGAAAATTTTGTGAACCCTCTATCGAACCAAGATAAGGTCTTTAAATGATAACAATGAAATTATCGTGTTTTATATTCCCCGCTTTTTTTAATATGTCGAACTTAAAAAAAACCTTGCATAAATTTTTGCTTTAATTAATTTGATTTTTAATTTTTAATTATTGATTTAATAATAAAAATACTTTAAGTAAAACTCAATTGTTTTAGGTACCTGCCGTGTCGGATCAATGAAAATGTCATGAGCCCCAAACCTGAGAACACAGAAGAGGACAAGCTGTATTTTAGTATACGTCAAAGGTTTACATATTTTCAGGAGAAACCGTTACACTTAAATCATTACCACATACAAAAGAAATTTACCAAATCCAAGTCACAAAAGATGACTGTTAGGCTGAGGCCGAGGCAAGTCCTGTGTTCGAAATGTAAATCAATTTGTAGTGAAAATTCTGAAAATGTCAATTCTCATATGACAAGGAGTAAAAGAACGGACCCTCAAGAGCCTCAGGGGAAACCACTCCCGGCCAAGCCACTGTGTTCAGAAAATAGAAGAGGAAATGAAGTTAACGGCTCGCCGCCGAAGCTTTGTCCTTCCTTCATTCCAAAATATTCGTGTAAAACTCACAAAGAACTCTTAACTCCAAATACCGATATAAATGGTGGAAGTGAAATTTCTGATGAATACTGGTTCAAAAATAATGAAACAGGGGAAGGCAGGGTTGATGAGGATGAGGATGACAAACAGATGGTTTTGAGGAAAAAGCGGAGTGTCGGGTCAATGGAGGATCTTTGGGATGAAACGGTTTTTGAAGAAAGCTCTAAAAAAGCCAAAACCACTCCTGTGATAAAAATTTCGTTCGGGTCGCAAGGGGAAGGCACGATTTTGAAGATCCCATCAAAAGTCCAGCAAGACAGCGATAAAGAACAAGATGACGGGCCAAACAACGATGAAGAAATTAAAGCTGTCAAAAAAGCAAATAAAAAAGCAAAAAAAGAAGCTAAAAGAAAAACCCTCCCTGTCTCATCGCCAAATGCAAATCAAGAGGACCAACAATTACAGTACAGAAAGCATAGGCATAAGGTCAAACACAAGAAGAAACACAAGAGCGAGAAGAACGATGAGGAGATAAAGGAAAAATGTTTGAAGCAGAAACTTTCCATCAATTTAAAAAGGGTTTCGTCGACATCTTATGAAAAAAGGAATGACGGCAGTGACTCTAGCCTCAGCAGCGAGGAGATTCCAGACTTCCCTTCTTCGACACCAGTTGTCGGCAGTGAAAATGTCGAGTCATGTAAGACTGATAATGGAACGACGTTCGCAGTAGGGGATGTTGTCTGGGGAAAAATGCATGGTTTCCCTTGGTGGCCTGGCAAGGTATGATCATTTTTTAAAATTTAATTTATTTATCAAAATTGGTTTTATTAGTCCAACCAATAATTGTACAATGATATATATAGAATAAATAAATGTTTACATTTTTGCAAACCCATTGGTACAAAAAGCGAGGAACACACCCAATGCAATGCAACGTGACGTGACACCACGTCTTGTCTCGTTTGTTTCATATCAAACACACGCCACGGAGAGTAGCACATGAATCACAAATCAGTGTCAGAAACCCAACACCTGTTTTGTTCTTAATGAATTATTATGAGCAAAGCCAAGTAATAAAGTTAGTTAATTTCATTCTACCAATATGGTATCTGGGTGCTTTGATAAATGTTCTGTCAAAACTTCATAATTAAATAATTTTTATTAAAAATCGTGAATGTTTGATATTGTTGGTTTATGTTAAAATAAGCATTTGTAATTAATATAACAACAAAAATACATATAGTTGGAATAAACAACAAAAATTTGAGTGTCCATTTGGTTCTTTTGTCTTCAACAATACTCAACGCTGAAAATCTGGGGATCTAGGTTGCATAGGGTAGCATTGAATCAGACATATGCAGGGGGTAATACAATCTTATGGAAGATTGGACATAGTATTAATTAAGGTTTTTAGTTGAGATAAAAAAGTCAATGGCACGAGCGGGTGTGGTTGAGATGGGAAGTTGGTGTCTGAGTGGATCGAGGTCATGATAGCTCAAGTGGTAGAGCTGCGGCGTATCAAGCCGAAGATCGTGGGTTCGAATCCTGCTCGTGCCATTGACTTTTTCAACTCAACTAAAACCCTTAATTAATTGTATGATATAAATTGGTCAAGCAGGGTCAAACTAGGGAATTGGACATAGTATTGGCTTCGGGTAACGTCGAGTGTGTTCTCTGCTTACAATTTAAACTTCACTATTCACAAAAATTTTAAATTCACTAGTATGGCTTCGTTCTTTTTAACCTTCTGACGTTTCGATTATATAGGAGATTATTTGGAGATCGTGAGTTGCGGTCTGGTGTGACGTAGGTTTTAGAAAAACATTTTCTTTATCATGCCAACATTTTGAGTGCCAGTGAGATCTTGATGTTTTATGCCTATATATGTTGGATTTTGAAGGGGTGGGGAAGGAAGTCAGGACAGAAAGACATTTTTCTATTAGTAGTCGGCTTGTTTGAGGTGAAAAGAGCTGACATGGGAAAAAAATGGGTAATGGTTCAGCCTGATTATCCTTTCAGGATTATAGGAGGGGTTTAATTAGGGAAAGGAAAGCCAAATAGTTGAAGAAAAATTTTTTGCACATCCTACATGTATTTGTAAATTTAAACAAAGTTTATAAATACCAGGCCCTGAAGATGATCTCAATAAAGATCGAAACGTTGGTACAATAAAGAAAATGTTTTTCTAAAACTTACGTCACTCCAAAAAATTATTAACTAACGATCACTAAACACCACAAATTATGTAGGAGTTTGGTCGCTTCCAGATTCTCGTGCTGGCTGAGATGAGACTTGTGTTTAGCAGCAAATCTTTCTATTTACACCATGACATCAGGTATCTTAAGATCCCTATGTAAGTCCTTACTCCTTACGTACCGAGGTGCATTGACCATGTTACGTAAGAGTTTATTTTGGAGTGTTTGTATAATTTTGATATTGCTGTGTTCGGTACAGCCCTTATTTGAATACCATTCGTCTACTTGTTTGTATATTTTATTTTGTATAGTAAGGTTGGAGCTGCATCTTATCAACCAGTATAGTTGTCTATACCTTATACCTACTTTTTCTCCGCATACCCTTTCCATCTCATTTTGGCATCTAAGGTCATTCCAAATGCAAACTTTGCAGTTTTTTACTCCATCTATTTGCAGAAAATCACTGGTGTATAACGCATAAAGCAATGGACTTAATATACTACCTTGTGGCACTCCTCCATTTATTGTTTTTTATTCTGAATATTGAACTTCTTGTTTGACTTTAAAATGTCTGTCAGTTAGGTAGGAACTGATATCTATATAAGCTTAAATATGACAAATAAATAATAATAAAATTAAAAACATTGTTACACTCAGTTCAGAGATACTATTTGTTCATCTTAGATACAAATAAAAATCTGGTTTTACATATCTATTAATATAATTTCTTTTCACATTGCCTTTTTATTTTATTATATTAGTTTTGTGATGACTAACTTTATTTTTACTGTAGGTACTTAATATTTTAATAAGGACCGACAAGATGAGTTGGGACGCCCATGTTTCGTGGTATGGCACACCGACATCATCCATGATGCCATGTGAACAATTATCACCTTTTTTACAATTTTTTGAGGTAAATAAAAAACAAAAAAGATGAAATCTCAAGTTCTTAAACTGTTTTTCTTCATTTTTGACAGATAAGATACAACAGAAGGAAAAAATCTGCAGGTTACAAAGAGGCGATACGATTAGCGACATCGGAGGCCTCTGCCATTCAACCCGATGCGACGATTCCTGAATTAGTGACGCTGGACCAGCCAGTCGAAGCATAGCCAAAAATTACTTTAAAAATTACAGCCCCAGGTTCATTATTCTTTGAAATTGTGATATGCAAAGTACGGGTCATCCGATCGGCAAAATACATTTTTGTATCGTCTTGTGATTTGATACAAAGTTTATACTGTACAAAGAGAAAAAAAATTAATTGGAAATTGCACGAGGTTGTAAGCCATACATTAATGCAATATATTATACAAAGTATATAAGCACATATTTATTATGTATAGCTGTGTATATATGTAATTTTGGAATGACTATGTTATTTAAGGGCCATGCCTAAATCCTGTTATTAAAACTGACGGTTTTAATTTTTTTAACTTGAGTAGAAAAAGCATGAAACATGTTTTACATGAAAAGCGTTTAATTCTATAGATAATTGAAGAATCAAATGAATGTGTATTTTAGTAAATGGATTTTCAATTAAATATTTTGAAGTCTGTTGTATTGAAATGATCGATAAGCTCTGAATTGAAAAAAACGGGCATAAATGTTATGTTGTGCAAGGGGCCAACAAAAGAAAATCAATGTTGAGAAATGTGAAATTATATTTTTTCCCCTTATACGTATTTGTTTATTTAAAACCTGTTTTTACACAAAAATTAAACATAACTTCACGTACTGGTGGAGTTATACACTTCATAAATTTAAATATTTCCTGAGGGTCGTCGAATATTACATTAAAAAAATAAATAAATTCCCAGAGAATTAATTAAAAGATATAGACACAACCGAGCCAGGTTAAGTGCTAAAGGGCTAATCCCTATGATGCCATACTCACAAATGATTGCACTTTATAGAGAGTATGTTTTAAGTTCAAGTTTCACATTGAATTCAAAAGGTGCGATTGAGATATGGGAAGTTGGTGTCCGAGTAGATCGAGGTCACGATGGCTCAAGTGGTAGAGCAGCGGCGTATCAAGCCGAAGATCGTGGGTTCGAATCCCGCTTGTGCCATTGACTTTTTTATCTCAACTAAAAACCTTAATTAATTTTAACATTGAAGTTGTTACAGAAATATTCATTTCCCACCTGCATTTTTCATGCTCAAATTCAACAGTAAAATCTTGTGATGTTATGCTGACCAGAACAATCAGTAAATTGAATAAAATTGAGGGGCACAAGGTTGAATGACTGAAACAGTACTAATTAAAAATATAAAAAAATAAATGTAATACGATACAGTTTCATTTTGCACTTTGATAAAAAATAAATTAAAATAATTTGTACATCAATTCTTATGAAGGATGTTTAAAGCTTTGCTAATGAAAGGCGTGGAGGTTTGAACGAGGAACTTGAGATGTTCCTTTTGAAGGGTCGACGGGTTGCTGCACACGACGGCCTGGAGAAATTTCGCCCTCTCGAGATCTAGCCAGTGCTGAAGGGTGAAGTTTGAAAGGACTTTGGTCGGGCCCCAGAGCCAAACCTGCAGGACTTGTTCCATCTCGCTAACGCTGCACTTAGTCAGTACATTTTCCAATGGCAAATCTTTCAGGAAACGGCTGACCAATGAGAGCACGGCTTCCTTGCTGGGCATACTTTCATTTTCCTACAGAGTAAAATTACAATTAGAAAAAATATAAAATCACAACGATCAGATGAAAACTTATAAAGATAAAATTGTTATAATGATAAAACAGGCAGCAGTTCAAACTAATCCCTACCGTTCAATTGCAATATAAGCATTTGTTTTGAACTATTTTTTTTTTAAGGTTGCGGATTGAACAACCATCGAGCTGTTAGTTTCCAATCATTCTCGTCTTTTTATCTGCTATTGTGGACCCACCGAACTGGGTAAAATATCAAAATACAAGTGACAGACCAAAATAGCGAGGATACAGAATGACCAGAAACTACCAAACTATCTAGTAATTTTAAATTCACTAATTTCATGGCCTGCTTGACCAATTAATACATTATAATTAATTAAGGTTTTTAGTTGAGATGAAAAAAAGTTAATGGCACGAGCGGGATTCGAACCCACGATCTTCGGCTAGATACGCTGCTGCTCTACCACTTGAGCTATCGTGGCTTCGATCCACTCGGACATCAACTTCCTATCTCAACGCCACCTTATGAGTTTTCCCTCCTTTTTGCCATTTTTCAAATGTCGTGTAATTGGATTGGATTCTCGACGACAAATGAAATGGCCATGGAGAGCTTTAGTGAAGTATACTTCATTTAATTCATTAAATTCACTAATTTCGTGGTCTGCTTGACCAATTAATACATTACAATTAATTAAGGTTTTCATCTCTTTTTTTCTAACCTTAATTAATTGATCTAGTAATGTTAAAACTTTTCCAATTTAAACTTACTGATGGCAAATAACAAGGGGTTGGAGTTGGCTCATCCTCAGCAGAAAAGACCAGAAAATTTTCCATGCATAATGTGTCTTTTCCTGTGTTAATGAAATTTAGGATCTTGAGAAGGACAAGCACACCCTCCCTTATGCCTTCCGGTGACTTATCGAGTTTCTCGAAATAGTCCAACGCATTATGTATCCTTAGTAATCTCTGTAGAACGGTAATTGTACCTGTGAACAAGCCACGATTGTAATTTTTATCACAGTTTTTATAATTTATTTTAATACTTTTTTTATCACTGTCGTTTTGTAGCAGTTCTGTAGGAACAACGTCTTTGAACACGGTGGCTGGACGTAAAACATCTGGAAGCGACAAATCTTCCCTTGTGACGCCGAGTGTCACAAGGTCAAGATTTAATTTTGCCTCGAAGAAAGAAAATTGGCCGATAGTTACAACAGGTTTATCTTCTAAGTCGAATGATTTCCATAGTAAATTATCACAGTCTTTAACAAATTTTGGCACTTCGTTAATTTTGTTGTTGACCTAAAAATGTTATTAACATGACAATTTGATAGCCAATAAAACAAATATAAATAATAATAATTTAACCTGATGTAGCATGTTTGTCAAAGCTTCTAAATTGGCAATAACAACGGCACTGTAATTTCCTTCTAAGGTAGAATGCACAACGCCTCTTTCATATTGTGCTTTGTCTTCATCCCTCTGAAAAAATTTATTTGTGTTTGTTATAAAAAAATTATTAATATTTTTAACGTGAAATGCATCCGTACCTTGAACGCCACATATGGATAGTAGATATCTATATTAGGGTCGGAATAACTCTGCTTTTTAACAGATCTGTCGACTTCAATCTGTTCATAAATATTGTCTTCCCCCTCAATCTGTTTTGTTCTAGACCTCAGACTACCAGAACGTTGCGGTTTCACTGGTGCACTACCCGTGGTACCTCCGTCGCCTTACAAAATATTACTTTGCAATTGCCAAAATCGTACAGTTGTTAATGAAATTTTGACATATTTGCAAACCTACCTATGTTTTGATACACATTTTCGGAATTTTGGGCTGGCCTCAGTCTTTCTAACAAATTCAAGGATTCGTTTCTAGGTGGTGGCGGAGGTTTATTTGGTCGACCTGTATATAAAAGATTAAAATTATTTCTATTTGCCACCATCTAGGACATCGTACCCAACATATATCAAAAGCCTTGAATTTTATCTTATCATAAATAGAATACATTTATTATTTAGAAAATATATGTATACATTTTTCACAAAATAACTATTACACTATATGAAAAATCAAAAATTGTTGAGTAAGGTTAACGGCCAACTATTAAGCGTTAGCGATAAAAAGGTTAAAACCCCTTCGGGGGAAAAGTACTTTCAAGTAGTTACTCCTTGTGAATACAACTATAGTGCGGATGAGGACCATCATAGACTGCTATACAGATGGTTCACTTATCAAAGGTAAGGAAGCGGTGCTGGAATCATTATACCTAAATTAGGTATCAGCATCTCCTCCCATCTTGGCAATAACACCTCCGTTTTTCAGGCAGAAATCTGGGCCATTAATGTGTGTTGTAGAACACTTATAGAAAATAAAATCAAGGAAAAATGTATTAGAATTTTTTCCGACAGTCAGGCCAGTATTAGGTCATTACAAAAAGATTTATCAACATCTAGACTGGTGGAGGAAACTGTTGATCTCATCAATAGGATCACTTCCAGGTGTGAGAATAGGATAACCCTTATTTGGATACCAGCACATAAAGGACACTATGGCAATGAAGAGGCGATAGCCTGGCCAAAGAAGGCTCAAATACTGTGTTTGTCGGGCCACAACCGGTATTACCTCATTCTATCAGCACAGCGAAGGAGAGTATTAATAACGGGCATGAAACAATTCCTAAAGGAGTGGAATTTAATGCCAGACACAGGCAATCGAAAGAGTTTGTTAAGGTGCTCAAACCAGCAGAATCGAAATGGCTATTCTCTAACTCAAGGAGGGGAATTAGGAGGCTGATAGGTATCCTGACAGGCCATTGCCCACTGAGAAGACACCTCTTCGTAATGGGTATTCTACCAGACCTCTTTTGCCGTTTTTGTGAATTAAAAGAAGAAACGGCACGCTAGGTCTAGATTCGAGACTTCGGAAGGTGAGGACATCACCAAATCACTCCACGAGATTAAATGGTCCAAAATCTTGGGGTTTTTGAACAGGCCCAAGAGGTTTATGCAGGACACGTGAGCCGATCAAGTCCCAGGCCTTTTAGGGATTGGGTTCGAGTCTACCCAGGCATTTAACTCCTTGGGTCTTAATCGCCCACCCTGCATATGAAAAATCCCACTTTTTTTAAAAATTTCTATTGTATCAAAACATTTTGGCTGCAATATACCCAGTAAGTATTGGAATTCCTTCTAAAATCTTACCTGGACTCCTTGCAGTTCCATTTTGCAAACCATTTGGTACAGTCTAAAATGAAAAATGGAGATGATTAAGTACGATGTTTGTATGGAAAATCTAGTTAAGGCTTACCGACTGAGGCGGGAGGACTTGTACCCCTGTCTTGTTGAGATCCAAAGGGTGAATGATTTGCGGTCGAGGCCTGTGAGTTGGAATATAGAAGTTTTCGTATTTTGGCGACTCCTCCTCCTTGTTCGCAAACCACCATAGCTTTTTCAGAGTCTGTCGCACTCTCGTTTTCTTCTTTTCTGATAGAGTGGGTGTAATAACTTCGAGAGAATTCCTCCGTCTTGGGTGGGGTTCAGGAGTAACGTTGACGGGAGGCTTTGGTGCGAGTCTCTTACACTTAACTTCTTGCAGGATTGGGTTGTTTGTCTCCAAGGGCTGAGACGGAATGTCAGAACATGGGTAAGGAAGTGATGCAGGTGTGGAATTTAAACTCTGAGGGGAATCAGGCACTTTAAGTTTTGGCGGTTGGGCAGGAGGCGGAGGTGTAAGAGCATTGTCTGTTTTGACTCTTAAATCTGGTAATGGTATCTTCTAAAATCATTACAAATTATATTACAACATTATACTTGAAATACAATATTAGTATAACTTACCTTTTTTGGTGGTGATGAAGGTGTGTTTTCTCTGTGAAGAAAAGAAGATCTTGGAGGAGGTGTAACTTTCTCGATTTCATCTGAATCAGCTTTGCCATCTGGCTCGCCAGCCATTTCTCGAGTCTCAGGAAGTATTTCACAACCAATATGCGTTACTGGCTCTAGAGTCATTTTGTGATTTTCTGCAACGGATGTCGAAAGATCTTCAAGAACCGGTTTTGGTGATGGTGAATCTTGCACATTTTTAACATTTTTTTCTTCTACTGTTTGGCACTTGACAACCTCAATATTGTTTCCTTCTTGTCCTTCGTCTATTTCATTCTCCAGGAGGGAGTTGCGTTTTTCACCTTTTTTTATATTTTGAATACAGAGTTTCTTCTTGGCTTCTTCGTGGGATTTTGTTATTACACTTCCTCGTGTGATCTGTGCTTTTCTTTCTGGATTCACCTTCTCTTCTTTTTTACCGTTTATAATGATAGTTTTGATTTTTGTATCAGAGTCAAGTTTAGGGTTGTTGATATCACATTTGAGTTTACTCTCTTCAGGAGAAGCCTTTTCAGTGACTGGAAGAGATTGAGTTTGTGCGTTTTCTTCTACTTCAATATTATTTACAAAATTATTTTCATTTGTAATAAAAGAATATGTGATAGATGGTACTATTGGTCTTAATGTCTTGTCTTTCGGAAGCGTATTAAACTTCTGCGGAGACTTTTTAGTGGACAAATTGTCAAGATTGGAATTGAAGTTTGTATTTATTTTTGTGAGCTTTTCTAATGCTTTTTCATCATCGCCGGGCAAGTCAGATTCTGTACTGTCTTTTCTTCCAGGCTCAAAATTTTCTATGTCTAAATTATCAAAATCATCGTCATCGTCATCATCATCAGTGACAGTCTCTAATCCTCCATAACCTATTACTTCACTTTCTTCTTTAGTAAATCTCACAGTTTTTCTTACTTTTTGTGCCTTTCTAGTGGAGCCTACGTTGAGAATTCCCTAAAAATAGACAAAGTTGGAATAACCGTGGATAAAAGAACAAAGATCATTTTATTTATAATTTTTATATTAAAGCTTCAATTATCAAGTTGGGCATTTAGTTGTGTATGAGTATCTAGGATCATTTTAGTCTTTACATAATTTGGGTAAATTGTGAAGAAAGTTTGTAATAAGTAAAGTAAACTATATCTTATTTTACATGTGCCAAACATATGTAGCCCATGAAGTATATTTTAGTCAGTCATAAATTTTTGTTTTATGATTTTTGTTCCATGATTTGCAGATCCAAGATTTTTAAATTTACTGCCTACTATATTAAACTTGAGATTTGGTGCAAGATAAAAAGATCTTTTGTTTTCTATCTCTTTAGTTTACAAACCTCCCAACCACATATCTTCTTACAAACCCATCAGCCTTCTTCTATCCTCATCCAAAATCCTTAACATTCCTTTTAAAGCACTGAATAGACATCCTAGATACTCATAAAATCATTCCTTCTCACCAATTCAACTTCTAACCTCATCATTCCATGATCCAACAAGGTTTGAGAGATGTCGGCACTATCCTTTACTCTAGGGAATAAAGTGATTGCTTGGTGCATTCCTAAAAGTAGCACAAGCTTTTGATAGGGTCTGGTACATGGGCATGTTTTATAAACGTCCCACCCACTTCGATTTCCATTCAAGTCAAATATTTAGGAAGACATAGACTGACATGGATTTCCCATGCAAGACAAGAGGCAACAACTTAACAGAAAACTCGGAAAACTACGAAGACTTCTAAGACCAAAATCTGTCCTAACAGTCAACACTAAACTAACCTTATACAAGAGTTTACTGCACCTATTTTGGGCATACGGAGTAGAACAGTGTGGGTATTGCCAAGCCATCCAACATCCAGCGCATCCACTCCTTCCAACCAAAATCAGACAAAATCAAAATTAGTCAGTGAATGCAACCAAAATCTCCAAAACCTGGTGAAACAAAAGAAACTGATGATGTCTTGGGTGCCAAGGCCCAGAGGAATTTTGGGTAACGAAAAAGCTGACAAACTGGCCAGAGGAAGATCTGAAGACCAGGCCCCGAACCTGTACCGGATAACAAAAATAAATACAAAATCCTCTATCACAGAATGGATCCAAATAAAACAAAAGGAGAGTGGATATACTCTAGCAGCGCTAGAAACAGTAAACTTATGATGATTCACTGCTGCAATTCCAATACTAATGGTCACTGGCATGTGATAAAACATTACACAACATGGTTATATACAATGATGATCCCATATGCAGATTATGCAATGAGGAGGAAAAGCCACCCAAATCATCTTCGAACGGGAAGCAACAGCTCAATGGAGATTTAACCTAACATACAAAAAACCTAGGGAAATAAATTGTAGCAGCATAGTCGATGACCTAATACTTTTGAGAAGGATTGAGTCTTTTGCACTGAACTACGGAACTAGGAAGGTACAATGAGCCAGAAGGCTGCAGTGCCTGGGGAGCACAAACCCTGCTTCCTGGTATCCTCATTACCATACCTCAGACAAATCATCAAAGCTCTTTACTATGTCACTAACCTCACCATTCACAACGACCCCAATATTCTTTTTGTCAACAAACTGATCCGTTCCCAATTTCAAAACGATGGCCTCGAGACCTTGCCCCTTAATCCCTCCAGCATTGGCTGATTTCTCAGTGCATGTGCAGGTGCAGGTGCAGCACAGGCTCTAATGTTAGTGCTATGACCGTGTGAAAAAAGTTTTGTGGTCATATTTGTAATATGTACTATATGTATAGGGTAAAAAAAATAAAAGGTAAGAAATATATTTTCTACTGACTGCCTCTATTTTTATACATTTGATATCAAATAATGTCAAACTAAACCTATTTAACATTAAATTATCATTTTACATCTTTACTAGCACACCACAAGGATCTGTCTATCTCCCATCCTATTCAATATCTTCCTCTATGATTTCCCAAATCCTGGAAATATAAGCGTACCTGTAGCACCATTTTTTAATTTATTTATCCATTTATTTATTAAAAGCCGCTGTTAATAATCTTAGTAGTACTGTGATATTAAAGTATATAAAGACAATTATGTAAAGTCAAATATGATATATTCATGTCATATTAAATCAGACATTCGAGCCAGTTAAAAAAGCAAAATGTGTTTGTATGAAATGAACTATTGAAACATTATGTTGTAGTTAATAATAGTAGCTAGTGAATATGTAAAAAATTAAATAACTTTTGATAGTGTGTGGTGATTAGTGACCGTTAGTCGATAATTATTCAGAAATCGTGAGAGGCGGTCTGGTGTGATGTAGGTTTCAGAAAAACATTTTCTTTATCGTGTCAACGTTTCGATCTTTATTGAGATCATCTTCAAGGCCTGGGATTTAATATAATGATTGAATACAAAAAATATATTTTGAACTGTATAAATTCACTTTTTTCCTACGCGTATTTGTTAAATTTAAACAATGTTTGTAAATCTCAGGCCCTGAAGATGATCTCAATAAAGATCGAAACGTTGGAATAAAGGAAATGTTTTTCTGAAACCTACATCACATCAGACCGCATCTCACGATTTCTGAATAATTTTTTGATAGTGTATCAATCAGAGTCAAGATATTAATGATTAAAGATCGCCAGGCTAATTAATTGTATTAATTTTTAATTGACCATCTTTTTCAAAGAAAAGCATATCGTTCTTATCAGACCAAACAAAATGTATATATTTCCTACATTGTTGTGGGAGTTGTTTGGCACGAATGATCACAGTGACCTGACTCAATACTGTGCTTCAGGTATAGCTTTCTAATGTCTCGGTATTTTTCAATTTCGGACTTTAGGGGTACATTTTGTTCTGCGAGAAAAGTTATGTAGTTTCTGAATGCAGTATACAGCGAAGTTTACAGTAATCTGTAATATCAATTGTTAAACTCAATTTTCACTGTCATGTTTGTTTCAGTATTTTCATTATTTGAAAAAAATAAAGAATAAAATGGTTTTAAGTTATGACATAAAGGCTGGTTGGTGAAGAGTAATCTCCGTATCGTTATATTTTTAACGGAGGAGCCGTTTCATCCCAGAAGAAAACGAGATCATCGAGGAGGAACCCGGTAGCTTGGATAAAAATACCCCCTGAGCCAGGATATTTTCCTGCTCACGGTGTTTTGGGGGGCGGGCATAAAAGTACGACCGTAATAAGCATACAGGGTGTTCATGAGTACGTGATCGAAAGAAAATGACGCAACGTAAACGGATTTGGGCCCACGACCTGGTGGAACGAAAGCAGGTATTAATACACGAACCAGATCGGCCGACATTAAGCCATCGCCGTTCCGTTTGGTCGGAAGGGAAAGTTGGTCAAACTCATACTTTTTGACCGTAAAGTGTGTCTCCTACATGAATATTTGACTGTTGCTAAATCGGCAACGAACTTCATCCCTTATTTCGAAAGAGCAAGGACTCCATTCTCACTTCTTTTATTATGCATTCCATTTGTACTTCCATGCCATTTCCATCTCTACGTCGTGAACTGTAAAACTCCGTGATACGTTACGAAATCAATTATTTTAAAATTATAATTATTAAAATAGTTCGTATTGCGGCTATAAATAGCTAAAGCGATAATTATTACAACCATTGACGTTTTATACACACCAAACTGCAAATATTTACAAACACAGAATTTTTCAACACTTCTAATTTTCTTTCTTCTGTATGATGCCATTTGCTCATAAAAGGTCAAGACATAAACTAGCAATACGTGTCGGGATGTAGAGAAAGGTTGCTCGATGTCCCACCTAATTGAAGGGTGCTCCTTGGCTCCGCAATGCCACCCGATATGAGAATTGTGCTGGTGCACGACACCGTATCTGGGTCACCATTTCCGATTCTTGGATGTTTTATGTATATATCACTGATAGTTTTATGTCCTTAGAGTGTGCTGAGAGTGAATGTATTTATTGGCGTGAAGGCGTTGTGTGAGAGAGCCGATTGCGGAATGATGAGTACCAATGATACTCACTCAATTAGGTTAGTTATATCGAGTACTTCACCACCCGAACCGAGTGAATGGTATGTAAATAAGAAAGAATGTAATTGAGAGTATGAATGTGTTTTGATTTGGGTACGGATTGCACTGGGTGCTGAAATATCCTAGCTGCTGATAACATCCGGAGCCCAACCATGGTAGCTGAACGGATAAGATATTTAAGGAAACATCCTCCGTACACAGGCAATCGAAAGAGTTTGTTAAGGCGATCAAACCAGCAGAATCGAAATGGCTATTCTCTATCTCAAGGAAGGGAATTAGGAGGCTGATAGGTATTCTGACGGGCCACTGCCTACTGAGAAAATTACCTCTTCTTAATGGCTGTCCCAGATCCCTTTTGCCGTTTTTGCGAAATAAAAGAAGAAACGGCAAGGCACTACCTCGTAGAGTGTGATAGGTATGCTAGGTCTAGGTTTGAAATCTTTGAAGGAGAGGACATCACCAAATCACTCCACGAGGTTAAATGGTCCAAAATCTTGGGGTTTGTGAACAACCCCAAGAGGTTTATGCAGGACACGCGAGCCGACCAAGTCCCGGACCTTTTAGGGATGTGGTACGAGTCTACCCAGGCATTTAACCCCTCGGATCTTGGTCGCCCACCCTGCATAATACATAATATATATAAGGAAACATCTGAAAATATATATTATATTCTGGAGGCGGTTGATGCTGGAATAAAGAAGACAATCGTGAGGAATGTGTGGAAGAAAGTCTTTGATTACGGAGTGAAACACGAAAATTTAAGTTAGAAAGTAATAAAAGATAATCTATTCTATTATTTATTAATTATTATTTGGAGATCGTGAGATTCCGTAAATATCTTATCCGTTCAGCTACCACAAGGCCCTGAAGATGATCTCAATAAAGATCGAAACGATGGCACGATAAAGAAAATGTTTTTCTAAAACCTACGACACACCAGACCGTACC